ATTTTTCTGATGCAGTTTTCGACGGAGAACATGAAAACAAAACGTCCAAGGTTCTGTAAGACAAGCTGTTCGAGTTCTGTATTCGTTTTCGAGAAAAGGCGGATTTTTAAAAGCTAGAAAATTTTCAGTCTTTTCGAGTTTTTAACCTTAACAACTTGATTTGAAACCTTGTAACACACAGATTCAGATTCAGATTCATTCGCTATAAATTTTTGCTTCTTTCGCTTGAAAACTTTCCAAAAAGCTTTTTCTTTCTGACTGACAGTACCCCGAGCCAATCTTGGTGGATACATATGGAATCGACTATCCCGTATCCGAAAAATGTAGTTTTCATCAACTCTGGTTCGATTTAAAAATTTTACGTATCGGTGATGTATATATATATATATAGATACTCGTGTATTACAATGCTTCACGCGTATCTCAGTCATTTTACCATTTGTACTCTTGATCGACCTCCCATTCGAGAGCCCAATATCTCAGCTTTCTTCACTAAACATTTCATGACAATCACTTTCCAATGATTAAGATATAATTGAAAACTTCTCTCGATCGGGAAGCTGGATCTTCAGTCAACTTTCTGAAGCGGAAAAAGCTTTCAATGTGAGAATTATATGTCAATCATTGGACAGTGATTGTCATGAAATGTTTAGTGGAGAAAGCTGAGATATTGGGCTCTCGAATGGGAGGTCGATCAAGTGTGGAAGTGATAAACTGACTGAGATATGCGTGTTTCAAGATGAAATCAGTGCTTGATTTGATACTCAGCCACACTTCAGTCAAACGAGGGCAGGTTGTAGCTTACAATCAGGATTTATTGTGCAGACATACGACCAAAATATCTGCGAAAATGTTGAAAGTTACTATAACTTGGACGCTAGTACCACTTTTGGCCGACAGCGTATTCCGTAAAATTCAGAATTCCACAGTCAATAATCGTCATACTGATTATTAATTATATTCAATATGAATTCTCACGTGACTTCTACCTGCTTTGTCTGTATCTACTACGGCAAGCCAGTCTACTAGAAAAGTGATAACTTTCATCGTAGTATTTTTGACATAACTCTAAGCTGTCGGTAGAAACGAAAATACTTGAACAAATACGTTTTTATAGTTCACGTAGAAATAGAAAGTACTTTTCTATAGCACAAGTGGAATACTTTACGTCCTGTACTTGTACGGATCTAGGTCAATGAAGAAGTGCAAATTTGTTGAAAAGTTATTCTTAATGCATTATCATGAACCATTGATGATATGCACGATCAGTAATTTCAATAAAATTTTTACGCTGATGCACAGTATGTATCTCTGATTTGCAGTGTATCAATCAAACGTCTTCGGGAAGCCTTACATCGAGTTATCGTTAAACACGCTATCCTGCACACGTCTTTTCACTTCGACACGCAAACAAATAAATGGTTTCAACGAATCGAACCGTTGGCGAACGACAGCGAAGGATTTACATTTGCTTCGAGTGAGGGATGCGAGAGTGATGATGAAGTTAGTCAACTGGTCATGAGAGAGTTCGCCAGCAAGGGTCTGTTCGACACGGAGCGAGGCCAGCTTGTTCGTCTGCACGTTGTGCGCAGAAAGAAAATACTCGATGAGGACTTGCTTCAATTCGGTGATATTATCATTTTCAACATTCGCCATGAGGCGATCGATGGAACCTCGATTCCAATCTTTTTCGCCGATGTAGCGGAAGCTTATCAGAGAGGCGAACTAGTCGTTGATCCAGACGCCATTAGTTATTTAGATTATGCTCTTTATCAAAGTGGATTAGACAGATCGCCTAGTGTCGCATACTCGAAAGAATATCTCGATAGCAAGAGGTTGGCTTTATCTCGCATGGTTACTCGTATACCTAGTGATCGGCCATGGTTAGTGAATCCATTTAAAAGCACACACTCCATTCCTATTAATTTTCGTGTGGATGATAAAATTGTATCAACGATGATAGGATGTGCTGGAGAGATGAATGTCACCGTTGCAAGTCTATGTCTAGCTTGTCACTTTGCTTTCTTGGTTGAATTGACGGACGAATGGGTTCTTGAAGTAGTATGTACTATGGCCAATCGACCACTAGAACCGGAAGCTGCCAAGATCCTTGGCCCTTTCTTACATTATGTCTTATGTAGCGTCATTCTCGAGAAAGAAAAGAATCCAACTTTTATCACTCTCCTTCAACAAACCCACACAACTATGATGATGTCATTCGATCGTTTACCCACCGAACAGAATCCTCTTTTGATGGACCTCACAGAAATGCTGGCCGACAATCAACCGCGCTCCAGTTTTCAATTCGATGAAAAGCTTCAAGATATGGTTCTCGATCAGAATGTTCGACTTCATCAACTACTTGATCCATCGGACGGCACGCTGGCAGCTGCATGGTGGCGCCTGGCAGTCTATTCGCACTTTTTTTCTCTGGTCAGTTACGATCCACAAACAGCCGAGCTCTCCTATGTATTCGCGTTTTCCAGTGCTGCCTATGAACGACCGACAGCAGTACGTATGGAAAAACATCAGAGTCTTTTAAGCCGTTTTTTATGGAATTTCAAGGGCATCCCTGAAAAAATGCACTTTGGAATTCTCACTTGAAAAACACCCTTGAATATCTCACCCACTTCATTTTTCAAACAACGGTTTCACAATATTTAGTTAATCACTGTTGAGAATATGAAATTATCAAGTGAGTGTGTCACCAGTACGCACAAACAACGGTAGAAGTGTTTGATTTTCATAAATGAATATCGTCGCTTGAGCAACTAAAGTTGATGACACCGTTTTATGAAGCACTCACTAGGAGTTGTTCGATATGTCCGAACGTTCAACGAATCAAAAGTGTACTTTTTGCTTAACAAGGTATGATATTCTTGAAAAATCGATATATAATATAATATTTTTTCTTTTCTTAAACAAAATCCTTCAACATAAGTTATGTTTTACTGTTGTAGCCTCCTTTTCACGGACAAAGCCTCAGCTCGATATTAGCCTAGTTCATCAACAGTCCTCTAAACTAACGAGTGAAGCGTTCGAGGTGATAAAACGCTTTTCGGTTCAGACTATTTTTATCACGTAGGGAATAGCGAGCAGTGAAAAAGCCCAACTTGGTTTGGGCCATTGTGCTTTGGAGTGGAGCTGCAGAATTTTCAAGTTTTGTTCGTCTAAAAACAAACCAGCTTTTTTTATATTAAAAGGACATAACTCACTTAAAAATACATCAGAGTAAGTTGAAAGCTTAGGGATGCAGAGTATTTGGACTACTTTGTATTCTACTTATAAGAAATCTGCAAAATAGAACCTAGAGAACTCCGTGATTTTGATTTGATTTTGAGTGCCCATGTCGAAATTTCGAAAGATATTTAATGCAAAACATTGCAGAAATTCGCATCCGTTGTTTTGCAAAAACCTGTAGTAAAATTTCTGTGTCTCACGTAATATCACACGCATGAATTTTCTTCTGCGCTTTTTCACAAGAACAAAAAATTTTGCGATAAAACGCAAGAAAAGATCATCATTTTTCATGCATAAAACATTACTCGCCTAGTTACGTTACAGCTTCGTGCGGTATTCTGAAAACAGTACACCCCCATGAATAGGTCCATCGAACCCGTCCATACGCAATCCTCGAGGCTCGATCCGCTGACCACCCCACCTTCACCCTCACCGCTCTCCTCGAAGCTAAGAGGAGAAAATTTTTTCTACGTGACTCCACAGTGGAAAAGAGACCGTTAAGATAGATACAAGACTGCACAAATTCCCCTTTTTCAAATTATGCACTAAATATGATGACTCACCCATGAGTCATTACAATGAGTCATCGTTTTGTCGCAATGCTGAACCAAAAAATATTTTTGCAAAAATTGTACTGAAAAATCACACGTAGTGTAATGCACAAAGAACATTCTTCGATAAAAGACAATAACGTATCGTTTTTCTGTTTATTTTTGCTTGAAAAAATACAGCGCAAGAACACGCATATACGAATAATGCGTTTTCTGGTGTTGCGTTAGTGTGGCCACAAAAGTGCCAAAAAACACACTTTTCTGCAGAAATCGCGAACAAAATTTAACATGGGTGGGTTATGACTTTTCTCAGTTATCAGGAACACGTTGAGTAAGAACGTGTCTTGGAGACGCTTCTAGCGTTCTTTTGGAACCCATTTTTGTTGACTAAGAACGACGTCTTTCTTGACAGAGAGGAACGCGTTTCCTTTTGCGAAAGAAACGCGTTCTTTCAAGAGAAAAACGAGTTCCAGAAGAGCGCTAAAACCTTCTTTAGGAAACGTTCGATTTTTTCAAGAACGCGTTCTCGGTCGTTCTTTTTTATGAACATGTTTCCATGGGTAGCGAAATCTAAGTTTTACGAAAACTAGTATTTTCCGGCTGTTTCAGCTAATATGAGAAAAGATCATCATTTTTCATGCATAAAACATTACTCGCCTAGTTACGTTACAGCTTCGTGCG